ATCAAAGTCTCACCAGACCAGCTGCCAGATTGCAGTTCCAACAAGACTGTGCTACTTCTCAGTGGCCAGCAGAGGAACCCAGGCCCTCCTTTTACCCTGGGTTCCAGCCCAGGGATCCTATAACACTGGGGGAGGGATAGCTCAGTAGTTTGAGCATTAGCCTGCTAAACCCAGGGTTGTGAGCTCAATCCTTGAGGGGGCTACTTAGGGATCTGAGACAAAATCAGTACTTAGTCCTGCTAGTGAAGGCAGGGGGCTGGACTTGATGACCTTTAAAGGTCCCTTCTAGTTCTAGGAGATAGGATATCTCCATGGGGGGGGAAACCACAGCCAAGGTCTATGCGGTCCCTCTCCTTGCTGCTGTTTCCCTGGGCGTCTTCCTAGTCAGCCATCTCAGGCTCCCTTTCTCTGCAACTCCTCTAGAGTTGACCCTTCTTCCAAGGCTAGGATGCCAGGGATTATTCTCCCCTCAGGTTTCCTCCTCCCCACTTCTCTTCTCCCAGAGAGTGACTACAGACTCCCTGCAGCCCCTCTCTTTTCTTTCTTTCTCTCTTCCTCTCATTTATGGCACAGCAGCCTGAACACGTGAGGTTATGACCACCACCTATCGCAGTTTTAGAATAAGCAAAAATCTATATCCTCTCACCCAGTCCTGTATCTTTAAAGGCACTTTTATGCTTTTTTAATGTAACCCCACTTTCCCGGTACACTCTCTAATCCTTTCAGACTAGATTTTTTCACCTGGCGGCATGTCTGTTCTTCATAAAGAATCTCTCTTTTGGTAAAATTCTACCTGCATTGCCCAGCAGATACTCTTGGTTTCTTGGACTTTGCATGTGTCACACAGCATCTCTTTGTGCGGCTTTAGTAAATATAAATTACCATTCAGGTCACAGTGCCCTGTTGGCATGCTAAACATAGCTGTTAGAAGTGAAGTAACTATTAAGTGTACCATTATCAGCAAGTTTAAAACATATTTCATAGAAACTTTGCCCTTTTCTCTCTTTGGTCTATAGTTCGTGCCATTCCTTCTCAAGTTCTCTCTGAACCAAACTGTTGAAGTCCTGTTTACTCAGAGGGATCTTCATATCAACCTCCTCCATTTTTAAGGCATTTTTTTGAAACTTTAGCTGCCATTTCATTGCTCAGAATCCCAACATGCACCAGAATCCACACTATGACTATATGTATACGTAACTGTACTATCTCAATAGTTAAGAACAATATTTCATGGATTAAATCATTCCTGCTTTCCAAGGCTCCCTTTCTAATCGCCATTATATCTGATAAAGCATCGGATAGGATAGCAGTCATAGTTGGGCATACATCCCTTATCCAGGTCCATGCCAATAGTATGCCCATCAATTCATCCATCATAATAGCCACAAAATTGGATCTTTTAATTCCAAATTCAGGGATATAAAAGACTATTCCCACTCTACCTGTGTAGAGCTGTTAATATAAATTTGGCAATGCTGACCCCATTTGCTGTCTATAAACTCATCAATCTTGGTAGTCAGATTTGACCTGCCTACTCTTCCCTTTGTTTTATCATATAATTCCAAATCCATAACAGGAGAGACCTGTACAGCTATAGTTTGATTTCCCATGCTAAAAATTTCAATTTCTTCCGGACCTTTTTCACCCAAGTATTTTACCACTTTTGACCCTGTTAGCATGTAGGAATTTGTGGCACGGTCATGGGGTCCAGTCACTGCTAGGGCACCTCCTCCTGGCTGGTCTGGCTATTGATTCTTCGCAGGTACGACATCCCCTTCCGTTAGTTCCTCTCCCTGTGGTCTCTCTCTCCCTTTCTCTAGTATTCCAGGTGCTTGTTCTTCATGACTTAGCCCTCTGGCCAGGTCACTATAGTCCTCCCTTTCTAGGGTGCCAAAGTCCCACTGAACAACCATCCTAGACAGTCTGTGGCTGTTAGGGGAACCCAGGCCTGCTGACTACTCCAGGTTCCAGTCCAAGGACTCTATACCTGGCAAATGTGGTCTGTTTTCCCTTGGATACTGCTCTTTCCCTAAACTCCTTCCTACAGCTTCTGGCTCCCGCCTCTGAGTGTACCAGCTAAACTTCCTCTTCGGAGGGAGTAACTGCAGATTAGTAAACTCCATAGCCTCAAATGTACCTCCCTACTCCCAGGGAGCGGCTGCAGCCTACTTCCCCTGCAGCCCCTTTCTGTTGTCAACCTACTGGCTTTATACCAGCCCCTCCTGTGGTACTCTTGTCTTCATGATTTCCATTAACCTTAGCCCAAAAGGTTAAAACTAAAAATTACATCCTGAAATTTATAGGTATTTCTCCAGTTGCTACTTGCCACACACACAACTGAGTCCTAATACTCGCACCATATGTGATTCGCTGGGCTTGGGCTTGGGCTTGGGCTTGGATAGTCTAATTTTTTAGTGTTGATTTAGAAGGTGAATTATAGGCGTGGCATCCATAAATCTATAACTGGTCTTATTATTGCCCTATACAGCATCAACAACATGTTCTTATCTGCACCCCAATTGTTCCCAGCAATGCTTTTAAGCAGATTCATCCTGCCTTTACATTTAATCTTGCTAGGATCTATATGACCTTTCCAAGTTACTTTATCAAACATAACTCCTAAGAATGTAATTTTAAACTACCTGTATTTTTTTTGGTATAAAAATATAGGTTTCTTTCTTCCCCAATCTTCCTTTTCGTGAAGATCGTTCCCCTTTTTTTAGCAAGTGGGAACTTAAATCCCCAAATATCTCCCCAGTCTGAAATCCCCATGGGCACCTCATTGGTTCTCTCCACAGCTATCCTAAATCTTCCATGTTTGGCCCATATAGCAAAGTCATTCACAAATTGAGTAATACCTATTCCTGCTCCTATACTCTCCAGGAGATCATTAATCATAATGTTAAACGGGTTGGGCTGATAACGCTCTCCTGTGAAGTGCCATTAGTAAGTTTATAAATATTTGGCAAAGCTGCCCCCACCCTGACTTGTATGGTTCTCTCTCTTAAGAAGTCTCTTATCCACCAGAACATTCTCTCTTCTTCCAATTGTGGCTAGTTTATACAACAAGCCTTCCCTCTATAGCATGTCATATGCTTTTTCAATGTCCCAAACAACAGCTATCATAAACATTCTGTGCCTCATGGTTTTTTGTATTTGTTTCTAATCTTGCAGTATGATCAACTGTGCATCTTCTTTTTCTGAAGTCATTTGTTATACAGTTTATATAGTTTTTTTCCAAGTATGCTACTAATATCTAATTTATCATTCTTTCCATAATTTTGCACACATATTGTGTGAAGGCAGTAAGTTGATATGCATCAGGTCTGTGGGTTCTTTACTAGGTTTTCCTTCAGTATAACCACGACTTGCTTCCATTCTGCTGATCCTAATATATGGGGAAAAGGAATACTATGCAATTACAATAAAACTGGTAAACTCCCTTTCATTAGGTGCTTAAGCATTACATATGCTATCTTTACCTGGGGCTGTATTTTTAAATTTTGTCTAAGGTTTGAGTTTTCTTGTATGCTGAAATTTTCATTCAGTGTGTCATCTTTATGTTCTACATAGATTGTAAGAGCTCACAATTTTCTTCAGCAAACATTTTTTTGTTCACAAAACTCTTTGATGTATATCACTACTAACTTTTGGAACTGTTGCTAAAATGTCTGCTTTTCCTAAGTTTGAACTTTCAATGTTATCATTTACTATATAAGTCCAGGTGTAAATTTTGTTTTTCCTTCGTATCCTATTCTGTTCATTCCCTCTGAAGCACCTGCCATTGGCCACTGTCAGAAGACAGGCTACTGGGCTACATGGACCACCAGTCTGACCCAGTATTGCCATTCTTCTATTACATTCTTATGCTTTTAATTTGTTTATATAGCTCTGAAACCTTGGAATCTTTATTCATTTTCCCACAGTACTTTCTTCAACTCTGCCTTTTTAATAATTCCTTGTGCCACTACTTTGTCTTTTATACTTAAATCTTTGTTATGCATTGTACTTTTTACTTGTTTGTATACCTTATTTCTTTAATTGCAACTTTACAATCTTCATTCCACCAGGAACCCGAATTTGAGTTTGTGGCAAATTGATGTCTTATATATAGTTAGATTGGCTACTACTACAACTCCCTTTATTATATTATCATGAAATTCCTCTCAATTATCACTTATACAATTGCTATTTAGATACTCAGCACACTCACTCCTAAAGAATCTTCAATTTACTTTTCTAAGGCCTCAGGTAAGAATTCCTTCAGTGTTTTCAATATTAGCTTAGCCTTGATATGTAATTGGCATAGGGATGTGATCATTACCCATTCCATCTTCTTTATAGATTTCCCAGCTGTATTTACTTGCTATATTGCTTCTTGCAATTCCCAGATATAAACCTGAAAAGGTTCCATCTACTGAATTAAATCTAGTAGGAGCCCCAGTATTGAGCTATACCAAGTTGTGCATGTCAATGAACTGTTCCCGGCATTTGCCATTATATTCAGTTTTCCTGCTTCCCTATAATTCATTATGGCTATTAAGGTCTGTACAAATAATATACAGGTGTTTGACACCCTTAACTAGCTCTTCCACTTCTAGATTGTCTAGTGTTTCTTTTTTGTTTGTTTGTTTTTTACATGGGCTATAAACATTAAGGATTCATATAAAGGTGCTATTATTCTGCGGAGGAATCTCAAGAGTACTGTACTCAAAACTTAAGTTCTGTACATCTATTTACAGGTGTAAACTAACTAACTAAGACCTTCCTATATAAACACAGAGACCCTTCCTCCTCTTATTTCTCTATCATATCTGCTTACATCATATCCTGAAAGTCTATGCATAAGTTCTCACTAATCAAGTTTCTTGTAACCATCACATCGGGTTTGAATTCGATTTCAAAAAATGTTTTCTCTAATTCCTGAAAAATGTGTTATTAAACCCTGTATGTTCCAGCAAAAAAACCCATGAGAATGATGTTGTTTTAAGCTACATTACCTTAATTTAAAATGGCATGAATGTGGTCTATCAAGACATTGCGTATATGCAAATACTTTTCTGCCACCTTTGTTATTCTTTCAGTCTTCTTTCCTGTTGGAAAAGTTCAGTTTAATCACTTCTATCATGAATGCTATAAATGTATTTGCCTACAAGCAGTACATTTTTACCTATTCCCCTTATATAAGAATGACCAGTGGTCTGATCCAGTATGGCTAATCTAGCCCATTATCCTGCCTTCTGACCATGGCTGATGCAACATACTTCAAAGGGGATGAAAACAGTGCAATTTATTAGAGGTTTACGGACACACAGAGGATGGGGTCCCTGATCATCTTGGCTAACAGACATTGATGGATCTATCCTCCATGAACTTATCTAATTCTTTTTTGAACCAAGTCATACTTTTGGCCTTCACAGTATCCCCTCGCAACGAGTTCGACAGGTTGACTGTGCGGTGTTACAAAGTACTTCCTTATGTTTGTTTTAAACCTGCTGCCTATTCATTTCATTAGGTGACCCCTGGTTCTTGTGTAATGTGCAGGGATAAATAACATGTCCTTCTTTGCTTTCTCCACACCATTGATTATTTTATAGACCGCTATCAAATCGCGCCCCTCTTAGTCGTCATCTCTTTTCTAAGTTGATGAGCCCCAGTCTTTTTAATCTCTCCTCCGATGGAAGCCCTAATGATTTTCATTGCCCTTTGCTATACTTTTTCCAATTCTAATAGATCTTTTTTGAGATGGGGAAACCTGTACCGCATGCAGTATTCAAGGTGTGGGTGTAGCATGATTTATCTAGTGTCATTACAATATTTTCTGTCTTATTATCTTTCTTTCCTAATGGTTCCTAACATTCTGTTCGCTTTTTTGACTGCTGCTGCACACTGAGCAGATGTTTTCACAGAACTATCCACAATGACTCCATGATCTTTCTGTAGTGATAACTAATTTAGTCCCCAACAGTTTGTATGTCTAGTTAGGATTATGTGCATTACTTCGCATTTATCAACTTTGAATTTAATCTGCCATTTTGTTGCCCACTCACCCAGTTTTGTAAGATCCCTTTGTAACTCTTCACAGTCTGCTTTTTACTTAGCTATCTTGGGTAATTTTTGTATCATCTGCATACTTTGCCACCTCACTGTTCACCCCTTTTTCCAGGTCATTTATGAATATGTTGAATAGGACTAGTCCCAGTACAGATCCTTGGGGAACCCAACTATTTACCTTTCCACTGTAAAAACTGACCATTGATTCCTACCCTTTGTTTCCTATCTTAACCAATCACTTTGCTTAAAAGTCTTTGGTGAAGGACCTTGTCAAAGACTTTCTGAAAGTTCAAGTAGATTATATCCATTGGATCACCCTGGTCCCCATGTTTCTTTGTTTCCCTCAAAGAATTATACATAGCCTTTTATTCTATTTAAGGTGAATTTTTGTAATGTGGTTTTACACCATCATGAGTTCGGCTCTGACGGCTACAGTTTCAAGCTTAACAGAGTGAAAGTCACCTCTGCTACTTGCTTCAGATTTAGATCTAGGAACACAAAGACCAAGGGTAGTGATGACACATACGTTCACAAGTACAATTTCTAGTCTGTTTTACAAGTTTTATTAAAGTTACAATTAAAGTTATGATTACCCAAGCATATAGAAATTCTATACAGGCCTATGCACAAGTTACAAATATAGTTATACTCACATCCTTAACTATAGTGTTAGGGTCTGATGGGTCTCATGACTTGATCAACAGTAGAGGGATGGTTCCTGCTGGAGTTTCCCATAGGGAGCTCAATTTTCCTAATCTAGGCACCCTCTTTTATAATGTGATTCTGTCTATACATACATTCTGCGCATGTCCATAAAAGTGTCAACCCTATTTCTCTTATTGGTCTGTGTCCCCTAGAACTTAAGAAATCCCAATTTTCTATAGGCTGTGTAATTTCCCTTTATTCTCATTAGCATTGATGCACAACCTGTATCCTGTAGTTAAGACATATCAGAGACAGATATGCCTTTACAGTATTTTAATGATCTAATATTAAATTTCTGGGTAATTTTTTGCAATATTTCCACTTGGAACATCTTTTCCCATAAAACCATCAGATTATTTTCCAGTCATTGGCTTATATCATCATTTCTGGTCTCCAAGGCCTAAAATAGCTAAGCTAAAAATCTTGCAGGCCTCAGCCTACAGGTTCTTGCATTTCAGCTTGTCTTACTTATGTCTGATACATGATTCTTCTAAATACTGATCAATCTTATACTTTTATAATCCTATAAATTAACTCTAACATACAATGAATATATGATATTACATGTTAATTAATCATAATATCACACAAATGAATAATAAACTAAAATCATTGGCTACATCTAATAGATTGGTGAAGCATGATTTCCCTTTCCAAAAGCCATGTTGATTCTTTTCCAACATAGCATGTTCATTTATGTGTCTACCATTCTGTTCTTTACTATAGTTTCAACCAGCTTGCCTGGTACTGAAGGTGGGCTTACTGGCTTGCAACTGCCAACATCAGTTCAGGAGTCTTTTATTAAAAAAAAAAAAAAAAAAAAAAAAAAAAAATCTGTTACATTA